CTAGCGTAGTTTAATCCTAATACCTCGACGGTAACGCAACATTTCTTCGATCAGTGAAATTCAGGAGGATGTCCTGCGGACTTAAACATTACTCTCCATATTTATTTCTTCTGCCGTGGGGCGGCGATTGCGAGTGCCACCCAAGTTGCCTGTTTATGAATTACTTCAGCCGTGCAGCACGCGTACATATGTACTATGTATAGTTATGCATGTACACTGCGTACATGTGCAACATGTATTTATGTATGAGTATAAAATGGAGAGCATAAACAACGATGGCGAATGAAAGCCCTGTAGCTGCAACAAAGGGCATCTCACTGAAATATGCTGCAAAACTGCGAATTGCAAACTGCAAAACGAAACGAAACCAAACCAGACGAAACGCACTGTGTGCAACAATTTATGGCCAACATTCAACAGCGGCGAAAGCAAAAAAAAAAGGAAAAAATACAATCTGAATTGTTTGCGGCAGCATAAAAAGTAGCCACACTGATGGGCGATGGGGCGGGCTTGGCAACTTGGTTGCTGCATTTCTTTGCATAAATTGCAACATTTCGTGGCACCGAGCTTGAAGTTGCTGCTGCCACTGCTTAGGCAATTTGTCATTGCAAACATCAGTTCCGCATAAAGATATCCAGATACGAATGTTCTTCAGAGCGCGAAATGGGGCAATAAACAGGTTAAAGATTCAACTTAAAGTTTGATCGTTCGCGAATCCATTTGAAAAGTTTTGAGCTCTGAAAAAAGCTTTGAGCATTTCGTTTAGACCAATACGTTTGAGAAGACGCCTGGAAAAATAAATAGAACATTTCTTAAATGTTCAAAACAAGCTTCTTAAATACTAATAGGGTTTATCAACTTGTAGTATTTATTATTATGGTTTTTCATTTAGTAACATTTTGTGTGCCAATGGAGAAGGTGAACAACAGGTGAATTAAAGTCATGATGACAGCTAAAATCATACAGTATGCCACAGTGGCTGACATTTCAACTACGGTAGATAAATGCTTTTCTTTTCGGTTTTAAGTATTAAGCCAACGGAATCGCTCAGAAAGTGCAAACGAATTTCCACACGCCTCGGCAATTGAGTAGAACGAGTTGAGGCGTAAATATGCTGCTGCCACACCGAGATTACCCCATAGCCCCCGAAATGCATTTACGCCAACTCAACTGATGCAAATCTAATTCTCGAATGTCTCTCGCACACACAGCACAGAATCGCACATTCAGACGGAAGGGCGCAGTGCAAAATATAAACCTCTCAAGTGCAAAAACCATTCAAAACTAAGCTAAATTTATTTAAGGAACAGCCAGCCACGAGTCTGCGACGACTGCTGCAGCAACCGGAATATTTTTCCACATCGCTCTCTGTGTCCTCCGATTTGGGTTCGGTGTGCGGGTTACTGCACATTTCACTTAGCTGAAATAAAAACTGAAAGGAAAAGCCAACGCAAATGCGAGCAAAGCCCAGGCCAAACCTAAACCGAACTATACCGTGTATGCCGAACTATGCAGAAGGAACTAAAAGTCTGGGCAAGTTAGTTTGCATAAGTGACTTCAGCTGCAATGCGATAAAATATCGCTTCCATAGTTGGTTTTGAAGAGATTTTTAAAAATAGCACTTTGGGCTACCCGATCTGTAAGATCGTTGGAAATCAATCCATGAAATTAACCATTTCAAATTATTTTCCATTCGATTCGGCTAACTGAAAATATCACTTTGAGCTACAATACGAACTCTTGCTGCAAAAAGAATACCCCTTTTCCAGAGTATCGCCAAAGTAGTGGCAAACGCCACGCAGAGGAAGGTGGCAGAGCAAAGCGGGAGCAGCCGACAAATGTCGCCGGCAAAGAGCAAGAAGTGGAAAGCGGCGGACGGAAAAGCGGGAAAATCAAGGGGATGTGTCTAGTGGTGGTTGGGGAAATCGCAGGAGTGAAATTCAGGTGGTGGCGCGGCTGGAAAGCACTCGGGAAATACGTTGACGGGGACAACCACCCATCCTGGTCGTTCTGGCATGGTTCTCCTACAGACGTGGCACCAGCGACGACGTGTGCATGCGAGGTGCTCGTATAATGCGTTGTGCGTGCTAAAAGATAGTTTTGCCCAGCTCAACGCGAGGCCGAATCCGGCAGTTTGAATGGAATGGAATGAAATACACTGCCCCGAACCCAAACCCAACCACACAGCCCGGGCAGCGACAGGTAGTTTTACACATTGAAAAATCCCAAACGCCGTGACACCACTCGTTTTTCTCCCAGTTCCGTTTTTTTGAACTCGGCTGGGATCCGTTAAGACGGCTACTGTGTGTACTGTGTGTTCTGTGTGTATATATGGGGATGGCTCCCTAATGTAATGGGTCTGGGATCAAGGCAACGCGAGACCAGTGCACAAAGCCCCAACCACACTGCTTTGTTTGCTCAGAGTTCAGCAGTTGCAGCTGCAACTGTGCAGCATGGCAATGGGATGTTTTCAATATCTAGTATCTGGTGGCACAGAAGAAGGGGTGTGCTAAGGGGATTTAGCGGCATTGGCTGCGATTTGTTTGGGGGAAGGTCATCAAACGGCCTCCGGAGGATTGCTGCCTAACCTTGCTCAAGTGTTCGCATATAGGCAATATGTTGGGTAAATGAATTTATATAATTCTTGCGCAAGTTGCCAAGTTAACGTATTAAAGAAAATTGAGACTCAAAAAAGGAGCGAAAGCTTTTTGCTTTCAACCTATTATTATTAACCAATTATTATTATGGCACTTGTTATTATGGCGTTCCACAGAAGTTGTTTCTGTCCCACAATTGTTAAACCAACACGATCTTTAGGCCTTTGCCTTTTTCTTTTGCGAGCTGCGCGTGCTTCTTTAACACATTGCCCTTAACCCCAGTATGCCCAACGACGCATGCAGCAGTGACATCGAGTGTTGCTGCTTTTCCTCGGGTTCCTAGACAAATATTATTGTTTCCGACACGCCGTTATTGCATATTTGCCTTACATATATGTAGATGTTTCTCAAAGTGTGAATGAAATTAATGCGCTGCACGGTGCCGTGTCTCGGCAAAGCGGGAAGGAATTTTCTCCTTTTCCCCGATTTTCCCATACAATTTGAAAAACTCTGTTTTTGTTTGTTCTCCGGTCGCTTTCCCTTCCCCTTTTCTCTTTTTTTCCCATTTTTTTCTGTTTTCACACAGGCTAAACGTTATTAAATGCAGGCAAATGCCTCGGCGCTCGACGGTCCGATGGTATTTGTAGTGTTGTCTTAGTCGCTGTCGTTTTTATGCTGAACTCTGCTGTAGGTGTTCTTGTTGTTGTACAGTCGCATAAAGGGCAGAGTTCCCCGATATATATGGTATATATGAAATGTTTTGCTTCTTTTTGCACCCGCTTTGAGTGTTTATTTCTGTGTTGCCTATATTTTTGGGTGTTGCTAAACTGGCGCTGGCACTGTGGGCTGCCATTTTTGGGAATTAAAATGTGGGAATTGGAAACTTTTTTCAATTAAATTGTTTTAATTAATAGACAGTCGTGTGACCAGCTGTGACATAATTGTTTAAAATACATAGCGTACCAATACTTATACCTACCCAAGTTATTTCTATTCAATGACTGTGTCCTCCATTGCCAGCAAAAACTTCTTTTAATTGGCTCGGTTCATATCGAATTCGTTCACTCACTTAGCTCCATTTCACGGCATCAAACTTTGGTATTTTCCACGCACTCGAAGAACTTTTACTGGCCGGGAGAACTTTTCTTTGTGGCAAAATTAGCCTTAACTGATTTATGTGCTCTAAAGACTTTGCTGGCTCGGCTCCCCACTCAATATACATCAATGGCTGGGTAAGCCCAATGAAAAACGCAGACACCTGTTCATTTCATGCGCCATTGGGCTCTTTCGGGCACCCAAAGTGCTGAGTAATGTCATTGGCCGGTTTTCAACACCTGTTACCGGTACCGGCTGGCCTGGCTGACGGTTCGTCGGGCTGGGGCCCACTGTGCCTGGCTTTGGTCCTAATGCTAAGTAGCTTTAATGCTGCCGCATCGCTGGGTTGTTAAGCGGGGGCGGTGGGCGTTGGGCGGTGGGCGTGGCTCCCACAAACGAGAGCGCGGAAAAATGCCGCCCTAAATGCTACTAATTAATGAGGACTTAGTGAAAACTGTTTTCGGTTTGGCTGGAAATACATACACATATAAAAAAGAAGAAAATTCCACTGCACCGCCGCCCTCGCCGTTCGCTTTTCGGTTTTCGGTTTTTGTATTGCAGTTCGGGGTGTTTCCATTCCCTGAATTTGTGTGTTCGCCGCTATTAGCATATAAATAGCGTTTTAAATATTTCTAGGCGCACATAATTCTAGGTATTTTCCCCCGTCCGCAACAAAGATATATTACCGCCGTTTTATTTGTTAAGTATTTCTCGTGGCCTGGCCATGAATTCGGCGTGTTTGTGCCCAGGGTTCGCGTGTGCCAGGACCCTAGGTCCTGGTTGTGTAAACAGGAAGCGATCCTAGACACACACACTCGGTCCTTCGGTTTGGCGGGGGGAAAACACACCCCCCCAGGGCATTTAACGCCCAACTGGCAAACGGCAAACAAATGTAATCAATGAAATTTTATGTGCAACAGAAACGCACTCCAGATTCAGATTTTCAACAGTATCCCACGCCGCGTAGCGTGTTTAGACGCTCTCTTTATGCTTTTATAACTTTATTTAGCCCGGGCAAACAGTTCAGATACAAATTAGAATTACGGCGCGTAAGGAAATTAAAAAAGGATTTCTACCTCTCGCAGCCAGATCCTTTTCTGCTTTCTGCTGGGCAAACAGCAGGGCTCAAGAAATTAGTGTCCACTTTGCATGGAGCTTGAAACACATTGGAATCGAACTTCATTTGGAACACAAGAGAGCACTCTAACTAGATACTTTTACCACCGGCTTTTATTCTGGACACATCTGTATATTTTATTTATTATACCCCAGCTAATGCAAATATTTTACCTTGCTCTCTTTTTACAGACCAGTCCGTTCCACTTCTCCAGCTGGAGCCGAAACCCTTCGTCCTGTCATGCGTCCCTTTCTACTAATTGCTTTGTGTGCGGAGCTCCTGGCTCCGCCGTGCCCTCACTAAGCAGGATCCTTCCACACCCAAGGCTCAAGGTTGGTATCGTACCCAGTACCCAGTTTATATACATTGTAATATGTATTTTGCCCTTATTCACGTCGAGGGGTTAGCCATCGGTTTTATTTTTGGGGTGTAATTGCAAGGCTTTGGACAGATTTTAATTACTGATGGCAGCGGGCTAAAGTTGTGCAAAAGGTCATTGGGAATGTTGTCCAAACAGAGGGATATCCAAATTAAAATTAGGCTAAGTATATGGCAGTCCAAGGGTGAAGGATAAATAGGTATTTGATAATGAAGATCTGCGGAGCCTGACCTTTTCCTTTCGGCTGGTAATCATTGAAATGAAGGATGATTCAACGCAGTCTTAATTACATTTACCATGTCAGGAAGTGTGTATCATTGCTTTTTCTTTTAAATTAATCGAAATAAAGAGGCCACATTCCCGAAAAAGTCATTAAAACAGCCGTTTATCTTTTTTACGGGACCCAAAGACATTCAACATCACAATCTTGAAATATTTTCGCATATAAATCAATCGTTCCCAAATGCAGCTGAACAACTTCATCCACAAAAGTTTCCAAACAATTGCATTCAATAAAGTCAAGTGAGGCTCGCAAATCAAAGCCCATCTAAACAAAGAAACATAGAAACAACATTAGCATTTGTTAATCAAAGTGTAATTCCGCAATTGCTACCAGATTCCAGAGAAGTTGATCCGTTTCCTGGCTAAAACTGCCAACTGCACAGCCATAAAAACCTCCAGCCAAGCGAAATAAAGTGAGACACACACCGATAGAGTGGATAGAGGGGATAGAGGGGATTGGCGAAAGGAAACTTTCTTAGCCACTCCGAGCCCCACAAATCACTTTAAACTGTAAGGACAAACTCGGGCCACAGAGATGGGGATTTCTGATTTCGGATTTCGGATTTCAGACCACCGCACCGATTTTAGAATCCGCAGTTCACCTGAGAGTGTGCCACTTGCTGTGGCCCGAGCTATTAAATCTCGCCACTTGTTCGTCGAAATCTATCTGTATATCTGTAAGATATACAATCACTTAAATCGTTGAGCGGCTAATCCAGCCGCAGACGGCTGCCGCCTGAAGTTTATCATACATCAGAGGAAAAACTTGCCTTGTCGATTGACAACGCAGGAAAATACAGAATTGCTCGCATTTCAACTGCCAAATATCAGTTTACAGGCGAGCGGAGAACAAATCAATAATCCCAAAAACCCCACGAAAAAATCAACACAAAACCCAGAAGGCATATCAAATTTTTTCCCTTCTTGATTGACGTCTTTTTGGCTTCGGGTGGGCAATAAAATGGGCGGCGGCGGTTAGAAGGTTGTCTCTTTTGAGGAGTTCCTTTCTTCCTTTCTTTCATTCTTTCACTGATTTCTGCTTTTACTTTCGATTTGGCTTTTGTATTTTGGGTATTTGCGCTGATTAGCACAGGAGGGGTGTCCCAGGAAAAGGAGTACACTAGCAGAAAATGTTGACACAGCAATGTTGAATTGTGCTCAAAAATTGAAGTGTAGATACTTTCCTCTGAAATGGAAATACTTCCATAAAAATACTTTTTCCCAAGTGCTCGCTGCGAATTGCAAGGCGAGTCCTGAGTAAACGGAAAAGAAATCAAATGTTGTCATCATCGCCGGCGTCGCTCTAATCTCTGGAGCATGTTAATAACCCAAAGGGCCTGTGCCACGCCTTCCCCTTGCGACCCCCAAGCAGCTGGTCCATTTCCCAATCCCCAACCCCCACCCCGACCCCGACCCCCCATCACGTCCCCTGATCAGTGTTGTCCATGTAATTTCATGCAAATATCATATTATACGACTGGCGATGGGGAAGTGTACGTGTTGTGGGTGTGGAAACGGCCTCTGACAATGTCGCACACAATATAATCATAACAACTCTTGGCGGGGTGGTGCCCAGACTGCGCTGGGGGTGGACTTGTAATATTTGTCAATGGGCAGCCGATGGGCCGACAATTGACATGGCAGGCAGGGAATGGAAATGCTAAGGAACTGGCGGTGGAGCGGACAGCGTGAAAGCAGCCATAAATAAGCAAATAAAATGTAATAACTAAGTGAAAATGTCGAAAATGCTGTCGAAGGCCGACGCTTTAATTCGCCCCTGGAGTGCTGGACTCAATGAAAATGTCGAGTGAGTGGCGAAGGCTTTGTATGCGGCTTCAAAAGTGGCTTAGATTAGAGAGAGGTCCTTTCGCTGAGGTGGCGATTATCAATAATGCAGCATCGCCGAGTTAATCACAAAAGTGAGCAGTGAGCAGTTCAGCCCCATTTAGCAGAAACTCGAAATCTGCACATGCACAATATGGCAAACCTGCTCTTTATCAAACGCGCACACGTGCCGAGCTGTTAGCTCTTAACTGGTATATTTTATTCATGGCACCCGAAATCTATTTCAACTTGAGCTGCTTAGCCGAGCTTCAGCCAGCTAGTTAGCTATGCATTCTGCCACGCCCACAGCTCTACTTAGCAGCTGCAATGGAAATGATGCACTAAGAGAAAAGGAAAAGAAAATAGCAAGCATTGGTAAATTGAGTTACTCAACAATTGGGGACTACAAAAGCTTTCTATGCTGATGGAAAAAGATTTAGTATTATCAGTATTAGGTGCTCTTTGAATGTTATCTTTAAGCATGTGCTGCATTCCTTCGCTTTCTGTGCATCGCCCGAGCTCCACACACTCCACTATCTGCATTTGCCCCCTATTCAGTATGCGGAATTTGGTGTTCTCCGCCCTGATAAGTTGCAATGCATTTCTTGGCATTTCTCTCTGGGCTGTCAGCTATCTGCGAAGCGCCACGCTGCCAACTAAACAATGAAGAACTAATCCACAGAGTATACAAAGGAATGGCTATAAAACAGCTCGTGTGGGTGAGAGAAAAAAGACAGGAGGGAGTGGACTTATAGGTGGGATTGTGTTTGTATAAGGCCACTTTATGGCTGCCCCTTTGCAACAATTGTGCAGCGCTGCATTCAATCAACAAACTTTTAAAGCGCAGTTACAAAACTCTGGCGAACTGGAGGAGCACCAGCCACTGAAGGAAAGGAAAACATGGGGAAAGTGGGGAAAGATACGTGATGGTCAGGGAAATTGCACAACAGCAGCAGCAGCAGCGTTTAATTATGACAATCAATACTCACACATGCTGGAGCACTTGCCACACAGATACCCGAATACATACAGTATACCCTGCAGATGTCGAACTGCGATAAGCGGAGCTTTGTGTGCGGCACAGTATTGTTAGCTTTTTATTTTATTAGCTTGAGTACTGACTGTTTAATAAGATACAAGATTGCAGAGACAGGCAAGCTCAATCAAAAGTCATTTTCTATGCCACCAAAGCCGTGCAGTACCACTTTCTGGGTGTCCACTGTAGCAGGAACACACACATATGGCAGATTTTATTGCTGATGTGCTCTCATTGCTCATCTGCGCTGCCCAGGGACCTCGGACTAGTGCAAATAAAACTTGATTAAATTCCATTGGCGGTTCCAATTTCGCTCGGGTTGGGCTCCGGGGTGGGTCATGGAACTGACCCGGGAATCTCTGGGGATGGGGACGAGCACATGGAGGAGCACAAGGAGGCGGAGCAGTAGATCGGCCATATTACTCGTACAATAATCAAACATAACCTAATTAGACGAACGTCCTCATCCTTGTGGGTGATGATTGTTCCATTCAGACCCGAGGATTTGTGGTTAGTGTTAAGGCCAAGGATTATTAAGAACGACATATTTTTATAAACTATTTACATTGAGTAATGCTTTCAGTTCATACGCGTAATCGATTGCTTTGCACCTGAAACACAGGTTCCGTTTGATTTGCGTCAAAAGGAAAGTGCAAAAGGCAGGGATATCTGCATGAATCCAATCGAAATGAGTTCTCTCAATAGCCAAACTCAATGGACATTGAAGCCAGGGAAACGGCTAGTTAATTAAATAACAATTACTATTCTCCCACCTCGGATATCGGGTATCGCAAAGCCCATCATGGCTCTTCAAAGGGCTGATTACTGCAGTTGCATTGTTGCATTGTTGCAGGCTTCGTTGGCGGTCCTAGTGGCATGGCCATTGAAGCACTCATCACCTATCTATATGGCTATCTCTTGCTCTGCTTCCATTGCCATCTCTTTCCTGTATGGAACGGCATCTCTGTGCAGGGTTTTTGCTGTATTGGCCATGCCTTCAATTAACATGTGCGCTACGCACTTTCTTTGTCCAGATACATACGCACAGACAATCGAGATGAGAGCTATTTCACTAGAGCTGCACCAGTGAGGTATTTTTCCCAGAGATTCATTTTCCCCAACTATTGGCGCACAAGTTCTGCTTGTGGACAGGTGAAATCGGCTTGATTCGATGGCGATGCAGTCATGCGCCTGCTAATTTAAAAACATAATTCAATTAACACGAATGTCTTTGCGATGTCTGTTTTTAATTAGCGCTTGCAGCACGCACCCATCGCAATGACACGATTAATATTGCCATCACGCACGCATCTCCAATTTGGCCTGCATTAACGAGAGTGTGTGTATCTGTGCGGTGGAGAGAGTCTCATGTGAAGTGGCGACAATCAAACACACACTCAAAGATTAATCCCGACACTCACTTGCAAACTAATTACATGGCTCTTAGGCAACGCCTTGTGCCCGAAAAGGACCAATCGACCCCAAACCGCCCACTGGCCTCGTGTAACCCGCAGGCTGGAGAGCAACCTCATGATGAGGTCGCCTCTGCTGCGAGTAAACATCGATTGAATGCAACATATGATTGGCAATAATTGAAAATAGTTGTTGCACGTTAAGAGGTGGATGGAGGTTGCCATGGCGGCCTTTGTACGACCGCTCACATATGTGTGTATGGGGGCTTTATTAAATTCACACCCATCGGGCACCAGGCAACGTCTGTTCCTATCATCATTATCATCCTCCTCCTCCTCCGCAGCCCGCCATCATCTGGGGATTCTTCTCGTGCGAGCATCTTGACCAACACAATGGCA